TCAGTGCTCTTCCCCTACCCTATCAAAGATTTGAAAGGGACACATAAGAAAAGGGGGGAATGATAAACCCAACCTGATCTTTTATTAAAATTGGAAGCCATCTTGCCACAAAGCCATGAAAAGCTAATTTCGGCTTTACTATAAATTACTGCAAATTCTGAACCTGCTTGGAATGCCTGCCCGTGCCTTGAACTCACCTATGCCCGGCTCTCTGACCAGATAGCAGCCCTCTCTGAAACTTTAGTGACACCTCATAAATATTGGCCTTCCCTGGCCAGACAACGACCCTCTCTGAGGCTCTAATGGTCCTCATAAATTCTGATGTTGGGGCCAGCAAAAAAATGTAAAGTGTGATGCTTGTCAGAGTTCTGTTATCTGTAACCCCCCTTTTGTGTAACTTGCTGGGCTGTAGGAAAGGTGGGGCTGCTGTTTTGTTCCCGCCATTTTGGGAGGGAAAGACAGCCCGGCCGGTCGAAATAATAAGCTTGCTTTAATTTGATTTTAATTGGAGTCAGTGGTCTTTTCTTGCGTCCTGGTCTAACATCATCTGCTGTTCCTTTATCTTACCCAGCTCTGGGATCCATTGAGACTTCTAGGACCATATCTGGTCCTCCCACCCACCCTGGCAAAAAGGTCCTGCCCTCCAGTCTTCTCCCACTATGTTCAGACATAGAAAATAGGCCACCCCTGGTCCAATCACCCCAGGTGAGGTAATATTTTTGCTGACCAAGTGTAAACCAATCTGGGCTTATAGACTTGAAACCTAAATATGAATTGAGCACCTATAGGATTTCATAAATAATATTTATTGCCCTGATTAATGAGACTCCCCAAAGAAATGCAGGACCAGATTCAAAAGGGAAAGAATCCCAAAGTAGCCACCCACAAAACTAATAATAGGCTCATCTGCACTATAGAGTAAAGACACAGAGAGACTTGGGAGTGGGGGGGTACAGACGACTTTGTGCTGGGAAGGCTACAAGGCAGAGCAGGTCCAGAATCCCAGCAACATTCACTTCCTGCAAGGTAGTGAAGCCAGATTTAAAGTTAGGTAGTCAGTGTAGTTAGGTAAATCGGGTCTAATATCGAGTAAGATCTAAAATGGAGGCCATGTTGAGAATGAATTCCAGAAATGCAGGACAACTCATGGAATGTTAATGAAGTCCAGGAAAAAGCCTAAGGCCAAAGCCCATCCCAAAGAAGTGTTAATGAACAGCCCCCAGCAAACAGGAAGATAGCCCATCCCAAAGAAGTGTTAATGAACAGCCCCCAGCAAACAGGAAGATAGCCCATCCCAAAGAAGTGTTAATGAACAGCCCCCAGCAAACTTGAAGGTGCTGACTCAGAAGTCCTTCCTGCCCAGATTACTTCTTTGGCCCACCTGTGTCCCACCCCTCGGGCCTTCCCACCTACATTCCAACACTGAAAGAAACTATAAAATGGAGAGACAACCACACTTCCACGGATTCCATCTCTTGGGTTCCCTTCTTCCTCTGGGAGGAGAAGTCTTTTCTGTTGTCCTTTAATAAACTTCTAACTTCCACTCTGACCTTGCCTAGGTGTGCTTCTCTGGTGTTATTCTTCAACATTGGGGAAGCAAGGACTCGTCACCGGTCAACCGCGGTAACAGTAGCACAGCAATAAATGACAGAAAGGCACTGGGGTTTGGGATCAATTTGGTATGGGTGCCACTTCCAGCAATTTCTGCCAAGTTACTTAATTTTTTTTGGGGGGGGGGTGCTGGGGATTGACCCCAGGGCCTTGTACATCTGAGGCAAGCACTCTACCAACTGAGCTATATCCCCAAGTTACTTAATCTTGCTGAATGTGTTTTCCCATCTGAAGAACTTGGAATAGTAATTCAATTATACATGGCTGTGCTAATTTTGTGAAATAGTATACGTGAAATGTGCTTTGCAGCAGATGGTTTTCAAACTATTGACCACAAAACACTGTAAAAACAAAACAATTTTTTTTTACATTATATAAGCTTGTGTGTGTTTCTGTGTGTATATAAATGTATACAACTAAAAAGGTTTCACAAAAAAAAAAGCCATTCAAGAGTCACTTGGTCTTTTTAATTTTTTTAAATGCTGGTTGCATTTCACTACATTGTTTTCACAACTCTTAATGGCTAATAAAAAACACTATTGGAAATCATTCCATTGTCCTTTATTACAACTGTTAATATGATTCTCAGGGATGGTCCAATGACTAGGAACTTCATTGCCAGAGCAATAAAGTACGGGGTCAAGGTTATTAGGTCAAGCCCTAGAGAGTCCCGTTGTCAAGGGAACAGGTTCGCCACGTCACGGTCCGCTTACCCATGCGTTCTAGCCCTCTGGAGACAAGCAGTGGCCAGTTGCTTTGTCACTCATCAGTCCTTGGGTCAGCCCGCCTCCAGGCTCGGAAGACCCGCCTCCTCTCTAAAGTTAAGCGAGGAATACAGGGATTGGAAATTTAGACGGTGACGTAACTTTCCGCTTTAGGTGGCCTTCCGCTCGCCCGGCAGTCGGAGGGGGTTCGGGGTTCTTTGGGCTGGCTCCCGGTCCCTCCGCCCTCAGAGGCTCCATGAGGTCAGTTAGCTACGTGCAGCGCGTAGCGCTGGAGTTTAGCGGGAGCCTCTTCCCCCACGCAATCTGCCTCGGAGACGTCGATAACGATGCGGTGAGTGCATGCGCACTGTAAGGGACGCAGGCAACCTGCATCCGCGCGGGGCGGGGCTAGGGAGGAAGCCGCCGCCGGAGGCGCGCCTGGTGAGCCATGAGCATGCGCGCTGGCGCCACCATGGCGCCCGGTTCAGGAAAACTTTATTGATGTCTTCCGTTCCAGACGTCACTGCCGGGGTAGTTAGGCAGATACCCTGGGAGCTATTTTTCTTCTACCTAATTCAGTAATTTGTTCACAGTAGAGCCTGATAAACTCGGGTGATACCTGGACTAGTTTACGAGTTAGCCTCCCCTAATGGCATCACCTTTCAGATTACTACCTTAAACTGAAAATGATACCGCGCTGCGTATAACTCCGCTCCTCCAGACTTCCCTAACGCCTCCCACCCTGGCAGAATTGGTCATTCCCGCGTTCTCACATGGCTGTAAACGCATCTTTGCTCTTGCACTCTGTTCTGGAATAGAACAGGATTTCTCTGCCGCCTCTGGTCGGCAACTTGTTGCCCCTATCTTGACACTGTCGGGTTTCTATAGTGCCTACCCAGAGTAGAGACAGATGACTGGCATCTTTAAAGTGTTAACTCTTTGTTGAATTGCAGAAGCAATCTCCATCTATTTTTCTTTTTCTCAGTAGTCATTCCTATTTTCGTTGTTTAAGTAAGTCAGTACAGATAAAGCACGTAGAACAATTCCTGGCACACTACTAACACTCATTAATTGTTAGTGCTGTTTTATTGCAGTCTGCCCTTCCTATCTAAGTGTTCTGCATTAGGGATTCCACCAACCAGGGATAGAAAATATCTGGAGAAAAAAATAAAATTGGGTCTGAACTGAAATTATACAGACTTTTTTTCTTGTTATTGTTTCCTAAACAATACTGTATAACAACTATAATCGTGCATCACTTAATGAAGGGAATACTTCTGAGCAGTACATTGTTAGATGATTTCATTGTACTAACATCACAGAGTGTGCTTACACAAACCTAAATAGTATGGTCAACTATAGGCAACATAGTATATACCTTCATATATGTGGTCCACCATTGGTTGAAATGAATGTAGCGCATGACTATTTGCATAACACTTTAGAAATGATTTTAAGTATATGGGAGGCCGGCCCGAACTTCAAGCATCCTTGGATTCTGGTATTCACAAAGTGGGAAGAGCTGGAACTAATCCCTCATAAATAGGAGGGACAGCTGCAAATTATATTACCTTTTTTTTTTCCCCACCTAGCTCCATTACTGTAAGTTCCATAAAGATTGAATTTATTTATTTATTTATTTTTAAAGAAAAGGGGCTTGCTATTTTGCCCACACTGGCACCAAACTCCTGGTTCATGCCATCTTTCTGCAGTGCCCTGAGAACTGGAACAACAGGTCCTTGCCCAGCCAGAATTTTTACTTTTGATATATATGTACTAGGGATTGAACCTAGGTGCACTTTACCTCTGAGCTACATCCCCAGACCTTTTTAAAAATTATTATTACTATTTTCATTTGAAGACAGGGTCTCACTAAGTTCTTTTTTTTTTTTTTAAGAGAGAGTGGGAGAGAGAGAGAGAATTTTTTAATATTTATTTTTTAGTTCTCGGCGGACACAACATCTTTGTATGTGGTGCTGAGGATCGAACCCGGGCCGCACGCATGCCAGGCGAGCACGCTACCGCTTGAGCCACATCCCCAACTCTCACTAAGTTCTTAAGTCCTACATTGCTGAGGCTGTCATCGAATTTGCAATCATCCCACCTTAGCCTCCAGAGTCACTGGGATTATATAAATTCCAAGCCTAGCCAGGAATTTTTTTTAAGTCTGTTTTTTCACTGCTTTATTCCTAGCATCTTAGATCATGGCACATAATAGTCATCCAACAAGTGCTTTTTGATTAAATTAATATTGTTATTTTCAGAAAGCAAATTGAAGCCAGGCATGTAGGCATATGTCTGTAATCCCAGAGACTGGAGTCTGAAGTATTACAAGTTGCAGGCCAGTCTCAGCAACTTGAACAAGGCCCTATGCAAATCAATGATACCTGTCTCAAAAGAAAAAAGAAATGGGGATGTGGCTCAGTAGTAAAATGCCTCTGGGTTTGATCCCCAGTACCAAAAAAAAAAAAAAAGAAAGCAAATTGAAAAAGACATTGTAGGCTAGAATGTAGCTCAGTAGTAGAGCACTTATCTAGTATTTACCAAGCCTTAGTTCAGTCCTCAGCACCCCAAAGGATAAAAAAAAAAAAAAGAAAGAAAAGCAATTATGTTTATGTGTCTCAAAGCAAATTGAAGAGCTTTGCCGCTATTTATAAATATAATTTAAAGAAGGGCAACTAAATAAGACAGTTGGCAAGTGGTCAGGTATAACACTTGATCCACAAAGTGGAGATAGAAATTTTGTTAGGGGGAATACTTAGGGTTGTAACTCAGTAGTAGAGTACATGTGTGAGGCCCTGGGTTCAATTCCTGGCACCACTGAGAAAAAAGAATTTTTGCTAGTGGTTCTAAGCTAATATTTGGAGATTTAGGAACGGGGGCGGGGGGGGGAATGGATTTCAGCCTACTAAACCCATAGTTTAAAGCTCTTTGAAACCAATTTCTTGCTAAGTCTAAGAAGTCAAGAATAAAATACATGGGCTCTGGGATTGCCCACTGAAGCCTGACTACACCAGGGACAGCAACCTTTTAGAAAGCTGAAGCAGATCCACACAGAAAGATCTTACTTCCTTCCTCCTTTAACATTGCTAACCAATCCAATGGTGAGTGACCACTGGAGGCCAGAGCCAAGCTCATCCACAGAGATCTGGTGGGAAGCATTCTAGCTGCTGGAAATGTCTTCTCCCCTAGGATATTGCCTCATTCACTCTCTGCCTGGCTGACTCACATCTGCTTGCTCAATGTACTACAGCACTGTTTTATGATTTTCTTCCTGGGTCTGTGCACCAGCCTCCACTCATACCCATCCCCCACCCTCCACCACCTTGCCTGGCAGAACTGGAAGCTCCTTCTCAGCAAGGAGTCTGACATTTATCTTTGTACCCCCAACTGGTTGTTCAGCGTTACCTGAAAACTACAGGACTAACCTGCCATTCTCTTTCATTTAACTTTTCTAGTGTGTAGGAAGCCCTGGATTCATCCCCAGCTCTGCAACCAAAAAAAAAATGCATACACACACACACACACACAATCTTTGATGTTTGTTCATAAAACATTTATTGAGGTTCTACTCGTGTATTGTGGCATTTGATGAATAAATGTATAAAAATTAATTCTATGAAAGGTGCTAACAAATTCCCTATCCTTGGAGGAGTTCATCTAGAGGCTAAAACTCCACCTGGTATTGGTATTCTCTGTAAACCAATCACTGTTCTAAAGGCCTTCCTCTGTTGGCTCGATTCTCACAATCTTATGAGGTAGATACTCTCATGATCCTTTTTACTATTTAATTATTTATTTTGCAGTGCTGGGGATTGAACCCAGGGCATTGCTCATGCTAGGCAAGTGCTCTAATACTAGCTACATCCTCAGCCCTATCCTGGTTTTATAAATGAAAAATGTAAGCAGAGAGAGCTGGATTTAAATCCAGCCAGTTGCACTCTGAACCCAAACACTGTGTTCCCTTTCTCCTGGGTGTCTGTAAAAGTCTTCTTGGCAGCTGTATTTGAAATGTTGGCTATAGAGTTTCATATAAATAAGATCTTTGGGGCTGGGGATGTGGCTCAAGCGGTAGCGCGCTCGCCTGGCATGCGTGCGGCCCGGGTTCGATCCTCAGCACCACATACCAACAAAGATGTTGTGTCT